GCAGGACTAACCCTTGAGAGTTTGGGGTGAGACTCCCAGCTACATGTCTGTTCATGAGAGTGAACTAAAACTATTCTAAGATGCTGATATAGTGGAGGCCTTAACAGGGAGGCATCAGTTAGTTTCCTTAGAACAAGGGCAAAATTCAGCCAAAGTCAGGAAGGTATCAAATTCCTCTTGTGCCTGCCCACTGCCAAGGCAAGTCATTTGTGAGCCTTTCTGCATTAGAATGCAGTTTCCAGTCCCCAAATCATCATCCGCATTCTGACTTTGGGAACAAACCTGGCTTTCATCTCCTGGGCTTTTCTAGAAAAGCCTCTCAGAGTCGAGTCTGAGAGTTTCTGATGCTGGCTTTCACCTGTTCCACCCTCCTCCCCTTACGCCTGTTTGTCTGTCTCACTAAAACATCATCCTAAGGTCAGGCCAGGGAGGGTGGAGTTGGGTGACCTGCTGGCATCCAGCCTGTGGCTCCCCAAATAAAGACATCTGGTGCCATCTTCAGCCAGACACAGGTAGGTGCAGTGAGCAGGCCTGGCCAGGATGGGAGGGCTGCAGTCAATGCGTCAGTGTGGGACAGGGGCCCCAGAGACCATCACACATCTCCTCTGCCCAGCTTGGAATCGGGCATCTGACAACTGCTTCCTGAACTCTCCAGAAAGGTCTTATCGTAGACCTCAAAATGCCATTTCTTCCTGGAGAGAGATACCCAGGCTGAGGGCCTGAGCGAGAGCATGGCATCCGGCAGTGCGTGCTCACCTGAGTGTGGCAAAGACTAGCTTGGCTCTGATTCTCTCAGGTAAAGTCAATTTCCTCCTTTTAACCCATGGTGGCATCACAAAATCTTCTCTTCCTTGAGTAAGAATTCAGATAAGATGGAGTCGGAAAGGACATTAGTTCAGGAGAATGGATGCATCTAATCTGAGGTGACTCCACTGACTCCACACAATGTTACAGCCAGCCTGGGGGACCCTGGCTTTGATTTTTTTTTTTTTTTTTTTTTTGACTGGGGATTGAACCACTAAGCTAAATCCCCAGCCCTTTTTAATTTTTTTTTTTTTTTTTTTTTGAGACAGGGCCTCACTCAGCTGCTAAGGGCCTCACTATACTGATGCTGGCCTTGAACTTGTGATCCTCCTGCCTCCGTCCGAGTTGCTGGGATTAAAGTAAATCACCTGGTACCTTGCTTTGATTTGAGGGCTCTTGCACATTACTTTTAACCCCCTGGATATCTATATTTTACTTTCAACTCTCATGACAGTTCAGTATACAAGTACAAACCTTTATGAGCAGCTCGTTAAGAAACTAGTTAGGGGGCTGGGGATGTGGCTCAAGCGGTAGCACGATCGCCTGGCATGCGTGTGGCCCGGGTTCGATCCTCAGCACCACATATGAACAAAGATGTTGTGTCTGCGGAAAACTAATAAATAAATAAATATTTAAAAAAAAAAAAAAAAAAAAAAAGAAACTAGTTAGTCCTGTGGCAGCATCATGTGAAGCTGCTCCATCAGAAGCACATCTGTCTTCCAGAGCACCTGCCTCTGCACCAGTCCTGTGCAGAACTCCTACCTCAGCCATCTCCCACTTCAATGTGTTTGTTGGAAACAGGAGGTCCCGAGAGGGCTGAGAAGGAGGGGAAAATTAACAGCCTTTTCTCCACCACTGTCTTTTCTTTCTTTCATCTTTCTGGTTGGGTCCTGACTGTTGATCTAAATGATTCAGGGTCCTCTGCATTTGCAGAAGTTACTGGCCTTAGAATTTCTAAAAAGTTTGATTTCAGTCAAATCCTTTTTGGGTTTGTTTGCTTTTGTTTAGTACACTAGCTAAGACACTGGCTGCTTAAAGTTGGGATAAATAAATCCTTGGGCCAGGCATAATGGGCACACCTCAGTAATCCCAGTGACTCAGGAGGATGAGGCAGAAGGATCACAAGTTTGAGGCCAGCCTGGACAATTTAGAGAGACCCTTTTATCAAATTTTTAAAATTCTTTAAAAGGGCTGGGGATATAGCTAAGTGGTAGAGTGAACCTGGGTTCAATTCCCAGTACTGTAAAAATTAAATAAGTAAATAAATCCTTGGCCAAAAGGAAGCTTTTAGGAGTATGCGTAAGCACACATCATGTGCGAAGCCAGTGAGATTTTCTTAAAGTGGGCTTTCCCAGAGAAGGGTGCATGGTAGGTGGCCTTTGGCCAAGTGGACGGAATTCAGGAAGTCTCCCTTTACAACCACATTTCCCAGAGAGATTTGAGATGGTTTGTTACAGAGAAGTCAGTACTTCCTGCTGCACAAAATGCTCAAGTGGCTTATACAAAAGGGTGTAGTGTTTGCATATGACCTGCACAGATCCTCCCAATACACAGTGCTAGGGATGGAATCCATGCTAGGCAAGTGCTCTCCCACTGAGCTACACCTCCAGCCCCTTCCCATATACTCTAAATCATCTCTAGATGACTCATCATACCTAACACAATGTAAATGCTATGTAAATAGTCGCTACACTGTATTACTTAGTGAATAATGTCAAGAAGGACTGTACATGTTTGGTACAGATACAATTTTTTTTTCCAAGTATTTCAATCCATTATTGGTTGAATCCACAAATGCAGAACCAGCAGACAGGATGGCCAAGTGAATATATCACTTCTAGCTCTTAAGCATCTGGGATTTCCTTTTGTAGAAGGCATGACCTGGGGAACACAATAGGTTTCTAACTGAATCCAATTAGTCAGTCAACTGCATCAACATTATTTACTGGACAACCCAACCTTTCCCCTACTGATGTGAACACCAACTTGTATCAATCTACTGTCTACAAAGCAATCATCAACTTTAAAGCACCTTAAAGGCCTAAGACATAAAACCCCTCAATAATTTCTCACACTCTTGAATCAAAATCTATTAAGGAGGCCAAAGGTGCTGCCAGTTCTGATCCTGGGAGCTTAGAGGAGTAAGACCTTCCCAGGCCTCTTTTGTCTTTTGGGAAACTTCCGCATCCCTGTATCACCATGAAAAAGTGCTGACTCTGTTACCCCCCATGAAGAGCTGGAAAAAAAAAATCTTTGCATGAAATTAGTTACAAAAATTGCCTCTCCATCTAGGCATCTTACTGCCTAATCCCAGATTATCTGCATTTTAAAGCAGGCTTGGAATAAAAGTCACCCAGCCCATGAGGATCTCAGTGTAGGTCTGGGGAGGCCCATAGACATCCCCAAGTAAGGGAGGCCTGGAACTGGCACTGATGAGGCAGCAAAGCCCTGACAATCCTGCACACCCGAATCTGGCAGAGGCTCCCTTCGAAGTCTTGAAACAGCCTCCAGGTGTGAATCATTCTATTACCATGGCTGGGTGGCTGCAGAGGAACTGAGAAAATGAAAATACTCACGTTGCTCATTAGCAAACTGAAATATGCAAATGTTGAGGGTGCCTTCATGTCAGGGCCACACTCTGCTTTTTTTCATCTGTTAAGCAGAGCATTCCTCAGCCCCACTCCAAGCTTCAAGCCAAGAGTCCTATTTGTACCTATCACAGAGGATCTTGATGGAGTGCTATGAATGAGGACTTTAGAAAATAAAAGTGATTGCAGCGCTGACCACTTGAACTGGAGTTAGATCCAATCTCGTGGCCTAATTCTCCTTGCAGACTAACATTTTCTACACTAGGGTTTTTCAACAGCAGTTCAATAGTTAAGGGGCCACATTTGGGGCCAGACCATTGTGGATTATAGGGGCCATCCTACCCATGGTGATGTTTTTTAGCAGAACCTCTGGCATCTTTAAATCATGCCCTTTAAATACCAGCAGCAACCTCCTGCACACCTGCTACAGCAACCAAAAATGTGTCCAGACATTGCCAGATGTCTCAGAGGACACAGAGATCACACACGGGCCCACAAACATACATGTATACACAGCCTTTGAGAATCACCATCTTTATAGGAAAGAGGTAGTATAAAATAATCTGTAGTAAACTGATTGTGCTCTTAAGATACAACCTAACAGTTTATATACACTTAATATCTGTGGTTTGGTTTGTTCCCTGTGTGGAGTGGACAAGGTTTTAATCTCTTTGGTCTTCACAGAAACTCAGAATCTCCTCTTCCCTCATCCCAGTCTATCTCCTAACATGTTCATATGTTGCTGGTAACAACGTTTACCTGACCTGTTAATTCAGTAACAGGTCATTAATAATTCTGCACAATAACTTATTCATTTACACAGCATTATTACTTAGGACTGAGCAAGCACTGCCTCCTAAACAGGATTCCCGTATGTTTGATGCTACGCCTCTTTTGTGATGTGGGTAGACAGAACAGCATCCAACATGGAGGGACATGGTCCCTAGAGTCAGACCTGGATTCAAATCCAGCTCCACTGCTTACAAGCTGGGTAGACCTGGACTGGTTACTGAATTTGCATGCCTCCTTTCCCCCATATGAAAATAGGAATGATTTTGTCAATATGGCAGATTCTATAAAGCCTCAATGCAATCACGTTTGTCACACATCAGTAAATGGTCCCTTAGTGCCTGCCGACCGGTACGTCATAAGGTGTGAGTCACCATCTTTGTCGGTCTGAAACAATCAAATGTGGGCAGCTTGGTACAGCTCAACCCAACATGTAACCCTAGGTCTAACATCACTCTAGTCTTTGCTCTGAGAAGGTCCAGCAAATGAATGAAACAATTCTGCTTTGTTATTTTCCTATATTCCTCTTTCTGAGAAGAAGGCATCCTGCCAGCACAATATAACAAACTTCAGAGAGCCAAAGTCTGTCACAGCAGCCGTCCTTGCTCACAACCAGCATGTGTTTTTAAAAGATTGTACTACATGAAAGGGCACTTTTCTGACCTTCCCGCCAATTTGTGTGGAAATAACCTGAATTGGAACAGCCTGTCAATTCTGGCTGTCAGGGGAGCCTTGGGTGGCTGTTCTGCTGTTTGTTCCCCAGGTGCCCGTCTTGGGCAGGCATTTCTCTGATGTCAACTTGCTGTGTTTGTGTCTCAGGTCACTCTGCTGATCGCCTTCATCTGTGTGCGGAGCTCCGTGTGGATCGACTACAGTGCCTTCAGCTACTTTGAAGTCGTCACCATTTGTGACTTGATCATGATCCTGGCCTTTTACCTGGTCCACCTCTTCCGCTTCTACCGTGTGCTCACCTGCATCAGCTGGCCCCTGTCGGTAAGAGCTAGCACTGTCCTCAGCATGTACCAGACAAGGTATCAGCCAGGGCGTTGGGACCCAAGAGAGTCCCTTGCATCTCCTAGTCCACCTCTTGAATCATCCTTTGCTGCTTCAGCCCTGATTTTCCAACCATTTGGTGGACATCTCTGATGTCCTAGTGGTTTCTAGAACTCACTTTCCAGCTACAAGAAGTCTGTAGCTCTTGGATATATTTCCAGAGTGTGCAACCCATCACCATGGTCAATTTTAGAACATTTTATCTCAAAAAGAAATTCCTTCCCTTTTAGCTACCACCTCCTTACCTCTCAGTTCCTCCAGCCCTAATCTTTCTGTCTGTACAATTTTCCTATTCTGGATGTTTCTCTTGCATGGAATAATGTATGTGACTGGCTGCTTTCACTTGGCAGAATGTTTTCCGGGTCCATCCACACTGTAGTATTATCAGGACTTCATTCCTCTTTATAACCAACTCTTTGTCCACCATATAGATACACCATCTTGTTTTTCATTCATCATTGGTGGACATTGGGTCAGATTCACCATTTGGTTATTAGGAGTCATGCTGCTAATAGTCGGGCAGTTTGGCAAACTGCCATACTCTGCCAAAGGGGCTGTAGTGCTGGATGTTCCTGTTAGCAGTGTGTGAGTGTGGCAATTTCTCCTTGCTGATGCCAACTTTTGTGATTTTCTGCTTCTAGCCATTTTAATGGGTGTGAAGTGGTACCTTATGTAGTCTTTTTTTTTTTCCCCCTGTGGTGCTGGGGATTGAACTCAGGGCCTTGTGCATGCAAGGCAAACACTCTACCAATTGAGCTATATCCCCAGCCCTCATGTAGTCTTGATTTGCATTTCTCTGATGACTAACAAAGTCAGCAATCTTTTCATGCTTGTTGATTGTTTGTATTTTTTAAAATAAATGTCTGTTCAGATCTTTTTCTAATTATTTATCTTTTTATTATTGAGTTGAATTTTTTCTATTTCTAGAGAAAAGTCCCTTATTATACATATATGATTTGCAAATATTTCCTCCCATCCTGTTGCTTGTTTTTTAACTCACTGGTTGGTGTCCTTTAAAGAACAAGTTTTTAAATTTGGTTAGTCTAATTTGTCTTTTTTTTTTCCTCATGTTTTGGTACCATATTAAAGAAACTGTTACTAAATCCAAGATCATGAAGATTTGCCTCTATGTTTTCTTCTAAGTTTTTATAGTTTTAGTTTTTACACTTTGAGTGGGTTTTTTTAGTTTGGTTTGGCTTGGTGTCTGTGTGAGTGTGTGTGTGTGGTACTTGAAATTGAAACCAGGGCTCACACACACTAGGCAAGCGCTGTACTGCTGAGCCACATCCCCAGCCCTAGGTTAATTTTTGCATTTAGCAAGAGGTAAATGTTCAACTTCATCATTTTGCCCGTAGATATCCAGTTTCCCAGAACTATGTGGCAGAAAGATTGTTCTTTTCCCATTAAATGGCCTTGGCACCTTTGTTGAAAATCAGTTGACCATAAATACATGGATTTATTTCTGAACTCTCAGTTCTATTCTGTTGGTCTGTCTGTCTATCTTTATGTCATGATTACACCATCTTGATTATTGCAGCTTTGTAGTAAGTTGTGAAATTAGAAAATGTAGTGTTCCCATTTTCTTCTTTTCCAGGATTATTTTGGATCATTGCAATTCCATATGAACTTTACAATCAGCTTTTCAATTTCTACAGAGAGATCAGCTGAGACTCTAACAGGGATTGCATTGAATCTGTAGATCAATTTGGGGAGTACAACCATCCTAACAATACTACATTTTAGGACCCAAGAACATGGATGATCTTTTCATTTATTTAGATCTTCCTTCATTTCTTTCAACACTGTTTTGTAGTTTTCAGAGTATTTTATTCTTTTTGATGCTATTTCAAATGTACTTTTTTTTTCTTACTTTCATTTTTAGATTGTTCATTGCAAGTATATAAATAATTTTTTGTCTGTTGATTTGTAACCTGAACCTTACTGAACTCCTTTATTAGTTCTAATGGGTTTCTAGTGGATTCCTTAGGACTTTCTTTATACAAGATCATGCCCTCTACAAATAGAGACGGTTTCACTGCTTGCTGTCTAACTCGTTGCCTTTTACTGCATGGTCTTGCCTTATTGTAAGAAATTAGTCGAACAAATTAGTTAACTGTCAGATAGAAGCGGCAAAAAACAGACATCCGTTCTCTTTTCCCTGGTCTGAGGAGGGAAGCACTTCATCTTTCATCATTAAATGTAATGTTAGGTATGAGTTTTTATAGATGCCCTTTATCAGATTGAGGAAGTTCCCTTTTAGTTCTACTTTGTTAAGTGTTTTTATCATGAAAGGGTATCAGATCATGCTTTTTTAAAAAAAAATTCCAGTCTGACAGCCTCTGCCTCTTGATTATCCACTCTGTTATTTTGAGAGAAAGTCCTTTGTGCTCATACGTTATAAAGCCCCTTTCAAGTGATGACACCCTTTCGCTTCTTTTGAGAACAAGCTTATCCGGGCATCTGGATGCTGACAGTGAACAAGCAAAGCAGAGAAGAAATGCAAGAGGACAGGAACAAAGGAAGGCTGAGAGGGGAATGTTCAAAGGACAGGCTCAACCACACTTTTTTGGCTGAGTACTCTTTAGGTCCCTTGCGCTTAGGATTCTCTCCAGTCCGTTTTCTCTGTCCCTTGCCATCTTCCTCTTCCTCTGTGGGTGAGAACCCTGGAGGTGGGGAACTTCCAGTTGTTCATCTGCTCTTAGGTAGATTCTCTGTGGTCTCCCTTGTGATCCTCCTAAGGAGGATCTCCACTAAGGAGAAACCCAGGTCTTTGATTTTACACAGTTTTGAGAGGATCTGCAGCTTGAAAGTGGATTAGGGGAAAAGGTTTTCCAAAATTTAATAACTGTCACCCTGATGGGCAGAATTCCATTGAGGAATAATTTCTAAATTTTCATCAAAGAGAACTGAACATGGAGGCACTCTGGATTTCGAGGAGTACTGTAAATGGCCCCATGCTTAAGTTCTCCTCTGAGCTGGTGTTGGATCTCAGGAGGAAGGAAGGGTGAGGTGTCATTCATCCTACGCTGACGAATGACAGAGGTCCAGCCCCTGCCAGGGCCTGCAAAGGTGCTGATTTAAACAGAAATGGACCCTCCTGGGCTGAGGCAAGAAGGGAAGGTGGAGTCAGACCCGCTAGTAGACCCCTCTGGTAGAGCTCAGCCAGGGACACTGGAGAGACCAGCAGGACTTGGGAGAAAGCCAGCGGCCACTACACCCCCACAGACACTTCACAGAAGAGCTGCCGACCTCATGCTGGGCTTTGACTCAGAGTCTGAGAGATCCCCAGGAACAAGCACCCCTCAAGTCCACACCTGGAAGTGTCCAGAGTGGGAAGGTGCTGTGGTCAGCCACACAAAGTCAGCACATTGTTAGCCCAGAATGTCTTCAAAGCAGAAGAGAAAGGTTCAAGTCTCTTTAAGGGGCTTTGCTTCTCAGAGCTGGAGTTTTGTTTAGACTCTGAAGCCTGGGAGTTGCAGGATTACTCATTTTGCTTTTTAATAGCCTGAGCCAGAGGTCAAGGTACTGTCTGCGAAAGGACCCCGGGAGTGGAACCATCCTCAGTGCATACCTCTGCTTTCTGGAGAAGCTTCCTTCCTTTGTCTTGTTCCCCTCCTGCCTGCCGGGCATCGTTGCTCTGGTACTTGGCCTCTTCCTGGCCAGCCTCCCTCTGGCTGCTGGCATGCTATGCCACTCCTCCTGCCAGGGCAAGCGAATAGAGGGAGCATGGCTCTCTCTTCTTCTTGTCATCTCTTCTGAGGCCCAGCTGCTCCCCAGGGACCAGGAGTGGTGCACATCACCCACCTGTTTGCCTCTGTTTCACCCCCAGGAACTTCTGCACTATGTCATCGGTACCCTGCTCCTCCTCATCGCCTCCATCGTGGCAGCCTCCAAGAGTTACAGCCAGAGCGGACTGGTAGCCGGAGCGGTGAGGATGCTCTTGGAACCTTTAGGAATGAAGTCATAGCTTAGTTGCTCCTTTCTTCCCGACGGGGGCAGAGAAGGGCTTGGTTTCCTAGGACCCAACTTCATAGGCTTGATAACTGCCTCCAGCCAGCCAGCAGCTGTCTCCAAAGAGCCTGACACTTGGACTCACAGCACATGATCCTCGACAGTGGACTGTCAGGGCTGTTAGCAAATTCTAATGGCCCCAGTAGTCCTGGCCTCTTTCTCACAGCCACTACTTAAATGGAGGGGCAGGGTTTTAATTCACAAGCCCACTCTGAACATTTGCTTTGGCTGCCTGTGCAGAGAAAGATTTGGTGGCCTTTTTTGGATCCAGGAGGAAGAGTACTATGATCCATCAGTGATATCTGCCTTGAGTCTTAACTTTGCCATTTTATATTTTTAACACTGTTCAGGCCAGGAAATAATACTCCTGTACCTTTTGGAGTCAAAAATTGATCCACCTGATACCCTTAAGTAGAAGTAGCTGGAAATGTAAAAAAAAAAAAAAAAAACTATAGTGCAGTGGAAGATATATACATAGGGAGGTATGATTTTTTTTTAAGATTCATAGATTTCTGTCATCTGACTTATGATTTCACTAACTTTATAGTTCAGTGGCTTATGGGCCAGTATAGATTTGCTTTCCTAGGGCTGGGGATATAGCTCAGTTTGGTAGAGTGCTGGCCTTGGATGCTTAAGGCCCTGAGTTCAATCCCCAGCACTACCAAAAAAAAAAAAAAATCACCAGATTTGCTTCCCTAATGAAAAAGGTAATTTTTTCGGGGAGGGGAGGGGGGTACTGGGGATTGAACCCCGGAGTGCTTAACTACTGAGCCACATCCCCAGCCCCTTTTTTAAATATTTTATTTAGAGATAGGGTCTCACTAAGTTGTTTAGAGCCTCACTAAGTTGCTGAAGCTGGCTTTGAACTTTTGATCCTCCTGTCTCAGCCTCCCTAACTGCTGGGATTACAGGCATGTGCCACCACCCTCAGCAAGAAGGCAAATTTGTTAGGGGCTGGGGATGTGGCTCAAGTGGTAGTGCGCTTGCCTGGCATGCATGAGGCACTGGGTTCCATCCTCGGCACCACGTAAAAATAAAATTAAGATATTGTGTCCACCATTTTTTTTGTTTTTTTAAAAAAGAAGGCAAATTTTTTAAAATGAGATCTAAGATAAGTTCTATGTGTGAGTTTCACTTATACACATCACCAGGTTCTCTGGAGTCTGGCCTGGGGCTGGGTTTGTTCCTGGAATTACTCTAGAGAGGGAGGGTCTCCTCTGAAGGTCAGCACAGGGACCCAACATCACTGCATACGGTGGCCAAGATCCTAAACACCTATGCCCCCTAATACACCTCCACAGGCCCCTTTCTGTGCTGTCTCTGAGGAGAGGAGCAGCATCCCTTGCAGGTCAGCATTTGCCCGACAAGTGCAAGCTGGTGGGAGAGGCACTCTGTGCTCCAGGGTGCACCCAGGGACAGTCCTGCTGGGCTTTATAAGCAGATCACAAAGAACCACATTAGCTCAGGAGTCCCAAGAGCTAATACTTATCATACACTGGCTTTGTACCTAAGGCCAAACCTGGATCATGGAGAAACCAGAATAAAATGTAAAAAATATGGTCCCTGCTTAGGAGAAAATGGTCATCAAGCTTCAGAGATGAGGACAGGGCCCATGAAACAATTAGCAAACAAGGCATTGTCGTCTAGAATAGCATTCTGTAGTGACATAATAATAAACTGTTCAATTATGCAGTGCAGACAGTTGGGGACCGGGATGCTATATAATGTGCTAATTGTGCAGAACAGACAATGAGAGGCCAGGACAGGCTCTAATAAGCTAATTATGTGGTGCAGACAATTGGTACAAAGGGAGCCAAGGAAAAGGCACTGGGGGTGCGAGTGGGAGTGGGCTGATGGGGGCAGCTGTTTATGTCAACCAGCAGCTGTCCGGAAAAGAAAAGCAAACCTTGTTGAAAAGCCTACTTTTCATCTGGCTGCTCGTGGACAGTACCTGTGGGACATCAGCCGGTGACCTCAGTAGTGAACTAGTGGTAGCATGGCATCTCAATATGCATCTGAGAACACCCAGACCACCGACTGGCAGAGCGTGGGTTCTAGGGTCAGACAGACCTCAAGTCTCAGACCCTGTCCTGACTCTGGCTGCTCTGCAAAACCTTAAGCAAACCCTTGACTCACCCGTTCTTCCATTTGTTTAGCTGTGAAATGATGAGAGATGTGATACCACCCTCCACCTCGCAGAATTGTGAGGTGCAAGGAATCTGCTCAGCTTAAGAGCTTAAATCCAAGCAGCTGCATAGTTAGTGCTCAGTGGATTTCAGCTGCCGCAGCTGCCAAGGTTGATCACAAGCCAGGAACATGACTGCAGACCTCGTGGTGTCCAAGACACCAGGGCGGGGCCTGCACCCTCTAGACCATTCCATGAGCCCTTTTCAAGGTCCTCTTCCTGTCCGGGCACCCTGTTCCTCCCCTGCAAATGAGGAGCTTGGGCCTAGGTCAGCCCTGCTCACACCTGAGCACTGGCTGGGCCCTGAGAAGAACAGAGCACTGCCGTAAGCTATTTTAATCTAATGTTATCTAAATATGTGCACACGTGAAACCAGGTCCATAGGCCTCAGCTTCTGGCTCACACACAGCGATAAAGCCACAACAGAGCAGAAAGCTAGTATGAATGAAAGGCAAACGATGCCAACACATCAATCAAATCCATTTGAACATTAAAAATTGTAAAACCCAAATTAAATTTAAATAATTTAATTATTAATAATACATTTAAATAATTAAATTTCCACTTTTTTCTTCTTTATTAGTCCAGAGTAATCAAAGTCCAGTGGTTGACCCCCAACTTGGTTGTACATATATGAATGCCAGCCTGGGAACTGGAGTTGCTTAGGGCCAAGAGTGGAGACCCAGAGGCCTGGCTGTCAGGCCTGACTGGGGCTGAACCCAGGAGGACTAAAGCCAGGGACTGGCCCTTCCAGGCTTCATCTCTGTACCTGAAGTGGTCAGGTCAGATGATAACCCAAGCTTCCTTTCAGTGGTGGACAGTTCGGGGAACAAGCAGGAAGATAAGAAACAGGCATGCCCAAGGGATGGGCCTGTGGCCTGTGAACTTCCTCTCTCTCCTTTGCAGATATTTGGATTCGTGGCTACCTTTCTGTGCTTGGCAAGCGTGTGGCTGTCCTACAAGATCTCGTGCGTGACCCAGTCAACAGGTGAGCTCCCATTATCTGTATGCAGAGGTCTCCGAAAGACTCCCGCTCAGGAACAGGACAGCTTGTCTTTGGCTTTGGCGGTCGGGAATGCCCCTGTGCTGAGGAGGCCATGCATGACCCTTGTCAGCTCAGAAGTGGTAATCAGAGCCCAGGGCCTGGCAGAAAGAAAGAGGGAACCCATGAGACCCTGCTGTCATTCCCATCTCCACACACCCAGGGGCGCCCTGACAATTCAGCTTCTGATGGCAAGCATTTTCTTAAAAATAAGTTTCCTAATGGCAGAAATAAAGCACTTGCCTTGCAAGTGGGAGGCACTGGATCTGATCGATCCTAGCACCTCATGAAAACAAATAAAGGCATTGAGTCCATGCGTAACTAAAATATATATATATATTTAAAAAGAAAGTACAAATGAAAGTGTTTTTGTTTTTATTTTGGTACTCCTGTTTGAACCCAAGGGTGCTATACCACCAAGCTACATCCCCAGCCCTTTTTATTTTTTATTTTGAGACAGGGTCTTGCTAAGCTGCCTTAGCCTCTCAAGGAGCTGGGTTTACAGGTGTGCACCACCACACTGAGTGAGAATTTTTTTTAATAAAAATTATCTGTTGGGCTGGGATTATAGCTCAGTGGTAGAGTGGAAGGCACAGGGTTCGATCCTTAGCACCACATTGCATCCAGGGGCTCTCAATCACTGAGCTACATCCTGCCCTTTTTCATTTTTTGTTTTGAGACAGGGTCTCGCTGAGTTGCTTAGGGCCTCACTAAGTTGCTGAAACTGGCTTTGAACTTGCCATCCTCCTGCCTCAGCCTCCTGAGCCACTGGGATTACAGGCGTGCACCACTGCATCCAGCCCTAATGTTTTTTTTATCTTTAGAATAAGTTCTCAGTAACAGATGACTATAAACCTGAACCAACTTTTGGTTAATACACTTCTTTCTTTGAGCCATCCCTTCCCTTCTTTATTCTTTTTCTTTCGTCTTCAAAAATCACATTAGAAGTATCAAAGCCTGCACCTTACAGAAAGGGGGCCACGGCAGAGCTCAACCTGCTCCAGCCTTCACTGGCAGGAAGTTCACAGGACGCCCAGGGAAAGGAGCCAGGCATGGAAGCCCATGCAGAGCTGCCCAGAACAGGCAAATCCAGAGATGCAGAGTAGGCCAGTCGGTGCCTGGGAATGCAGGGGAGGGGCATTTGAGAGTGACTGCTCATGGCTTGGGGTTTCTATCTGAGGCCATGGAGATGCTCTAAAACTGTAGAGGAGGTTGCACAATTTGGTGAATAGTCTGAAAACCATTATTGAAATAGTTCCCTTTAGATGGATGAACTGTGTAGCATGTGAATTACGTCCCAGGACAGCTGTTTGGGAAAAAAAACGAATGGGGAATTTAAAAAAATAAGAAATAAAAAACACATTGGCGAATGTGGTAAATAAAAAATAAATAAGAAAAGTGATGCCTTAAAACAATAAATCTATAAATATTTGTATAAATACATTATTGAAAATCAGGGAGAGACAGCTATCGTGGTATGCACTTGTAGGCCCTGCTACTCAGGAGGCTGAGGCAGGAGGATTGTTTGAGGCTGGGAGCTCAAGACCAGCATGCACAAAAAAAAAAAAAAAAAAAAAAAAAAAGCTCATGGAAGAATTGCTGAAAGAAATTGTTAATGGAGTCGAAGGGGTTACTACCTCTAGGGAATAGGATTGAGAGATGTAGGAATAAGAGCCCCTCCATACTATTTAATTTTTTTTTTGTCTCTAAAAAAATGTATTTAAAAAGAATAAAATAATTCCAATGAAAGTTGGTGCTGGGTGGAAGAAAGAATTGCACAGAGAAAAACTTGGGGAGTCAAGCTGTGGCTTCTGGTTGAAGCCCTTGGGTCAGTTCTGTCCCCCTCAAACTGATCTAACTTTGCCATTTCCTTCCCAAGATGCAGCTGTTTGACAAGGCTTCAGCCTCTGGGTGCCTTAAAAGGATCTGCAGGACATGGGCCTGGCAGACAGGAGGACCAGTGACCCCAGGCACGGCTTCTGGACTGTTCCTATGCCAAAGTCGCAAGCAGGCTGATAGGCACCAGGCAGGCCCCCCTGGCCTCCAGCTTCCCCAAGACACCAGGTCTCAGCTTCTGGGCTGGCCAGAACCTCTGTCTCCAGTCTTCCCTGGAGAACTTTCCTCCCCTTCTGGGAAAGGAAGCAGCTCCAAGGGCAGCCTGTCTCTCCTGCCTGCTTTTAGCAGCACCTCAGGTACTGAACACGACGGTGGGCTCCCAGGTCTGCTTCTCCTTCACTTTCCTCAGGGGAGCGAAGATGCCTCGATCCTCAAAAAAATAAAGCCACCTCCTAATTTATCTAGCCTGTCAATCTGATCTTGAAGATGCCCTCCTTCTTAAGGTGACATGCCTGCACAAACACTAGGTGGTCAGCCTGTTGTCTCCCTCCCTCCCCTCTCTCTGCCTTTGTTACGGTTGTGTGTGTGTGTGTGTGTGTGTTTGTGTGTGTTTAAATAAAATATTAGCCAAGTGCAGAAGACTTTCTTATTGAACTAGAAGAAGCCTGTAAAGCTAGGCCTTTGCCTTTGAGTTTATGTCTGGCACATGACCCTAAACCCAGTGCTGTGTATATACTCAAATTCTCATAAAAAAAGGAGACTCTTTTTTCTATTTTCTACGTTTTTTTTTTTGGGGGGGGGGGAGGGTAGGGCAATGGCAGTAAAGTTGGGTTTTAGGTAAGTATATGCAGTTCTAAATTTATATTTGCATCCTTCTCTGTGATATGCACCTGCTCATTTTGGAAGGGGTTTTGGAGGAAGCTAAGGGTCCAGTTTACACTTGACACTTATCCTGAACTTGCCACTTCCCTGGGCTGGGCTGCTTGATTGGCTAGAAAGAGGACCAGGGAGTTGTTGAATGGTGCTATGGGCAAGGAGAGAACATGTGTAGCCACCGTGAAGAGCGATTACAGTACTGTTGGGCAGGTTACTGCAGGAAGCCATCCGTGAATTACTTGAGGGTCTTCTCTCGGTGGTAGCCCAGGGAGATTTAGGTTTGGCAGTGGGAACTATCCACAGCTCTCTCTCGGTAATAGATTGCACATGACCTTTATCTCTGCTCTGCTAGGAAGATACCTCATAGTAGCTCCCTGCTGGGAACTGGACAGCCCAACTGTAACCTTTTTTGGTGAGGAACATTCTATGGAAGGCCTTTGATGTTTCCTGATATAAATAAAGCAGGTGTGGGCTCCATTTTGCCAGAGTCTAGAAGCTCCATCCATCTGATCGGCTTGCCCATCCTGCCCTGGTTTTTGAAACTACTTCCTGTGTTCTGTGCGTTTTTTTTTTTTTTTCCAAGCTTTTATTCTCAACCAGCCCATTCCACTGAAAGGAACCCCATTTCTACCACCCATGCAGGACGCAGGCGAGAGATTACGATAGCACCCACTTTTTAGAAATGAGGAAAGTGGCGCTCCTCTCCCATGGCACAGGGCAAGTCAGCAGGGAGCTAGGCTCACACTCCAGCTCTGCCTGGCTCCCTCCTGGGCCCCATCCTGTCCTGTGCAAAGTATTGATGAAGCAGAGGCAGCTCCTGGGGCTGCTCTCATCGGTGCTGGTCAGCTGGGGACACTGAGATCTGTCTGGGATTCTCAAGGGAAACAGCTCCCACTATGTCCAGGCCCAGTGCTGCTCATGAGAGGGCATCCCATGGCTCAGGTGGGCTGGGACAGGGTCATAGCTCACGGCCCTGACTTGGTCAGCTCCTCGAGAGCAACAGGATGGAGATGACTTGGCTGTCCAGGTGGGGCAGGGGGCCTGGAAGCTCCTGCCTGTGTTGTGACAATGCAGGCCTCCCCGAGAAATAAGGACCCAGGTTTGACCACGTGGGTATCCTCTTAGGGAGACTGAGGAAGGTGAGGGATGGTCAGAATGGGAAACAGCAAGAGCCAGAGTCTGCTTAGACACAAAGAGAAGCTCAGAGATGGATGAGATCTCCACAGACCAGGAGAGCAGTGAGTGCATTTGGCCCTGACTTGGCTGAGAAGAAACTGCTCCAAGTGTTGGTGGGAGGGGCAGGAGCGGTGGGTTTTAGGTCATGGGGCCTTTGTGGAAACTCAGGCTTCCATGGCCCCCCAATAAACTGATAAACTCTTTGAAAGGTGGCCACACTACAAGCACCAAGGAACAAATGTCTAAGCAAACAGTAAAGGGAGAGAAAAACAGATCGGAGTCCGATCTGATTGTGTCCCCTCTGCCATTCACTAGCCCCGTGACAGTGAATAGACAGTCTCTCTGAGCCTTAGTTCCATGTTGGTATAATGGAGAGAATAAGCCTATGCCACCTGCCTTGTGACCCTCTGGGAATTCAGCAACATAGCAGTGTGCTCATGTGACAGTGATCTTTCTAATGCTGATCCCCAAAGAGGTACCAGAGTGGCAGGAAACTGAGCAGGTTGATATTGCAGAAATGACTGGAGGGGTGCAGGGAAGAGAGAGGAAAACATCTTGACTTTTACTTTTCTGGACCTTAAACTCTTAAAGTCAGGGCGAGGGGCCAAGAGCATTTTCAGCAGGACTCTGGAATACATGGTGGACCGAGGGAAGCAATGAAACCCTTGCAGGAGTCAAAGAAAGTCAACACATTCTCAGCACGTGGAGATACTGGCAGTGGGGATGGGGGTGAAAAAAGCCGGTAGTGATGGAGGTAGGCTCTGGGCATGTCCTGTGATCATCTCCTACCCAAAGCCCACTGACTCCCTCCTAGCCCAGTGAAGGAATGTTGGCTTTCACTTAGCAGATAGCAGGGATTTTCAGACATTCTGCCCTCTGGTTCTTTGAGCCCTGGTGGCTCCCCAGCCACTCAGGAATATTCTAGAAGCAGAGCCAGTGCCTTAGAGTTCTTGACATCTTGGCAATCTCCATACGTATCTGGCTCTTAGTTGGCAGTTGAGGACGCTGTTGACAGTAGGGAGAAGCCAACCCAGCCGTGACTCACTGTTCCTGGACCACACCCCAGGGTCTGGATGTCTAAGCCAACGGGGCAGTGACATTCAGCTGTCCCATGGAGATGCAGCCCCTGGACCCAAATGTTGACTCATCACTGTGCCCCATGACTTGAAAGTGCCGACATGCCTCCCTCCAAGAAATTGAGATCTAATGGTTCTGCACTGGGAGCCAGGTATCTTCTATCTGCTGATAATTAGAGCAGATTAGAAATGCAGGCCCCAGGCTCGAGGTCCCACAGAGGCCCACCAAAGCAGGATCATCATCTGCATTGTAGCTGGGTCCCTGCTGCTATGCCCTGCTTCAACTTTTTTGAAGCACTGTTGGAACCAGCTGCCCTGGGCTGGGGCAGATCTGGTGGAGGGAGAGATAAAGTGGTGTCAGTTGGCAGTTGTCTGAAGTAAAATCTACTTCTGCTTACTGGATCCAAGGCTATGTTAGGAAAAAGACTTCTTTTAAGGGTGACTCTACTGCTTCTTGCCTTGGCATTTCTGAACCCCAGTGTTCCTTGTAAGGATGCAAAGACAGGGTGAAGCTTGTGAGGAGCAGCACTGTCCGTGATGCTGGGAGCCTGCTGTGCAGGCTGAGCAAGGAGCCCTGTCCCAGGGCAAATCGTACAACTGCACCCAGCCCCAGGAGACAGGTGAGACTCTAACCAGCTCCACCCACCTCACGTGAGAGGCCACATGCCACAGAGCTTTGTGAACCAGAAAGAGTGCATGGGCAAGAGGGCAGCTGTGCTCCAGCTGCCAAGGAGCTGCTTGATGCAACCTGGGGCCACTGAGTTTGTGTACCCCACTGAAGGTTTGAAGAGTAAAGGAAGCAGAAGATGAACGACATTAATGTGGAAGCCAGTGCTGTTCACACAAGACATAAAGCCATACTCAAAAGCCACACAGGGAGCCAGGCATGGCAGAGCACCGGCTCGGGAGGCTGAGGCAAGAGGATCATGGGTTAGAAGCCAGCCTCAGCAACTTATCGAGGCTGTAAACAACCTAGTGGGACCCTATCTCAAAATAAAAATTAAAAAGGGCTGGTATGAAGCTCAGTGGTTAAGCACCCCTGGGTTCAATCCCTGGTACTGGAAAAAAAAAAAAAAAAAACCATACAGTCAGTCTTCAAAAGGAAACTGGTGTGCCCTATTATGGTAACTGAAATAAGCCAGACAAACAAAAAGAAAGGGTAGTGACCAGGAGCTATGGGAAGTAGGAACAGGGAGTTAGTGTCTTCTGGGTACCATTTCAATTTGGGAAGATCTAGGAGTCCCCGAGATGGGTAATGGCAATGTCTGCACAACAGTGTGAATGTATTCAGGACACTGAACTGTATACCCCAAAGTGGTTAAGATGGCAAATTTATGTCACATGTGTTTAATTGTGTCTTTCTTTTTTTTTTTTTTTCCAGTTTTGGGGATTAAACCCAGAAGCATTCTAACACTGAGCTACATTGCCAACCCTATTTATTTATTTAGGGTACTGGGGATTAAATCCAGGGGCACTTTATCACTGAGCTATATCTGCAGTCCTTTTTGTTTTTTATTTTAAGACAGGGTCTTGCTAAATTGCCAAGGCTGTCTTCAAACTTGTGACCTGCCTGCCTCAGCATCCTAAGCTGATGGGATTACAGGTGTGCTCCACTGCGCCCAGCCCATGGTTTCTTAAAAAAGTGATATAGGACCTTCTTGGTGCATTTGTCGTCTGTAAACCAGGCCCTCTTGGAGCTGCACCCTCTGGGGGCAGTGCCCTGTGGAACACAAACTCTATACCCAGCTCCCAGGCAGATCCGTGTGAGGATGTGAGAGGGAGGGTTGGGCCCATGGAAGAGGGGTAGTGGGTCTGAGGCCAGCCATCCCCAAAGACCGAGAGCCCTCCCTGGCCTATCATGGCGACCTGAGGTCCCAAGAAAGGGTGTTGGCCCCTGTGGCAGCAAGAGACACTGAGACATGAAGCCACAACCTGTCTGCCCACATTCCTCACCACAGGCAGCCTCTTCTGGCCAGCAGAGCCTCCCTGAGCCTGGCCTGGTCCTTGGGAGAAAGGGATGGGAGGTGGAGGGCGGTGCCATTACTGGCAAGCCTCTGCCACAGCTATTTTCTCACCACCCGAAAGATGGACAGAAAGACTGCTGCCAAGGCCGGCGCTGGAAACACGGGGCTGTGATGCTCTCTATGGAGCGATGTGGCCCCTATCTTAGAGGGTCTTGTGAGGGAACCACCTACCCTGATGCACAGCAGTGTGGCAGAAAGGCCCAAGAAGAGAGCTGACTGGAGGTGAGCCAGGGGTGAGCCCAGTTTGGGCTGTCTCTTGGACCAGACCTGGAACTGTCCTACTTAGAGCCTGTGGGACACAAAGCTGGACTCGACCCAGACTGTGCCAGCTGTCTTCCTTCATGAGCAGTGGCCCTAAGGTCCACAGACAGGCCCAAGGTGGAGGAGCCGAGAGACCCAGAGCTCCCAGGCCTTTTTTCTAGCTTGAAAAGTAAACCTCTAGGCCATGGAAACACAGCAGGTCCTTGGGGCCCCTCGGTAACCACCACTTCCCCTTCTTCTGAGGGTTTCTGTACTGATTCCTGTGAACTCTCAGAGCTGCTCCAAGGGCTCACAGAAATCCGACTGCATGTGCGAAATATGTTAACGTCTTAGAGCACACACCATCCTGTCAT